CCCCAAGGATCACATCAGTACATTTCAGAGAAAGGGCGGACCATGTTACCGATTGTGGGCCTGACCATGAGTTGCCTTGGAATCTCCTCTTGGAGCATCGGATAAAATCCTGGTCGCCTAGGATCCCACATTTTCCTTACCCCCAAGCACTGTGATCTTAGTTGGAGACTACAGTAATATATTTGTGCTTTTGAAGCATAAAAAGCATAATCATAGACAATCCAGTTCTTCAATCATTCACTTCATATACATGCAACGTGTGCTTGACTTCCAAAGACATAGGTGTAAGTAGGAAGAACATTTTAAATATAGGGGAAAACAGTTTTGAAATATGAATAGAGTTATGAACTTTCACCTGGCACTACTTGTTAACGAGCAGCATTTGTGTGACAGTGACACAGGGATTTGTGGTGTAGTAGAAAGGTGCTCCGCCATCACTTACTGAAGACAGGAACTCAGTTCCCAAGTGGAGAAATGTTTTATTGGGTCTCTCCATCTTTGTACTTTGGCACAGAATCCTTCTAAGCCAGGGTTAGCCTTGAATTTGAATGATCTAAACTGTACTGATGGGGGTGCAGAGCATCTTCAAGTAGTATATTTGGGTGACACTCGAAAAGAAATACAAGCGAAAGAGTGTTCTCAAAGTTATTATTCCCGAATAAACATTGCACTCACTGTTTAATATTTCCAGCAGAATTCTTGAGTACTTGAGACATCAAATCCCCAGTGTGGCAAGGGTGGAGCTGGAGGAAAGGCCTGCCAAGAAGAGGATGCTCCTGAGAGAGAGAGAGAGTAGAAGTGGACGTCAACTTCCAGATGAATTTCCCCACACGTATCAGACACACAAACTTCCATCTGTGAGGCAGCATGGTGAAAGCAGGCACTCGTCAAAATAATACAATGGAAGAAACTAGCATTTCCCGCAAGTGTGGCAGTTTTTATTGAATTGTGATGCAGCGTGGTGGAATCAGGCTCTCGTCAATTTTCGGGCATGTAGAGTTATTGATATCATCTTAAAGCTTGTTCACTTGTCTTTATTTGGATGAAAAAAATGTCCATTTATCTTGAATACAAGTGGAGATATTTGCGAATGAAGGAGGTGGGGGTCACCTGTTTTCAGAGGAAAAATTAGTGAGAAAATGGCCGCCAAAGATTAGTTATTTCCTTAGCTTAAGAGTCCGTTGTAACTGAAAATGTGTATTTTTCGTGCCTTTAATCAATGTTTTTCAGAACATTCCACACAGAAATGGGTTCTTTAATGGGCATGAAAGGTGTTGGGCCATAAGACAAAAATTTTATAAACATTAACAAACCTGCGGAAAAATACAGGTTTCTTCAATTTGATTATTTTGACAAGAGCCTGATTCCACCACGCTGCCTCACAATTTTTGTTTTTCGGCTCAACACCTTTATGTCCACTCAAGAATAAATGTCTGTCTGTATTTTACCGAAAAATGTTGAGTAAAGGTACCAAAAAACGTACATTTTCAGTTTCCATGGACTCTCAAGCTATGGAAATAACCAAACTTTGGCAGGCATCTTCTCGTTAATTTTACCTCTGAAACCAGGCGACCCCCCAACTCATTCAATCACAAATATCTTGACTTGTACTCAAGATAAATGGTTATTTTTTCTTCGAAAGCAAGACAAACGAACAAGCTTTAAGGTAATACCACTAACTTCACATGCCCAGTAATTGACGAGCCCCGGGTTCCACCACGTCATGACACATTTAATGTATGGTAGCTCAATAACAAGCAAGACATTCATTCACTGCAGCACTTTGGTGAGGTCACACTTCCTTGAGGCAGATGGAATCAACACCCGATGACACCCCTTCATTAATTAAGTATTGTCCCAAACTTTAACTCATTCAGTGCTAAAAGTGACAAAGATGAATTCCACTCCCACTACATTTACAAGTTATTGGGTCTACTCAGATTGAAAATCTAAAAGCAAAGACACTGTTTGATCAATATTTTGTGTTTAGTAAAAGTTTTATGAAGCTTGCAACTACATAAGGTCATATGAGGTTTTTATAGGTTCTTTATATGACATTATTGATATATATATATATATATTATATATATAATTATATATGGTCGCCTTTAAGGACAAGCGGGCTAACCCAGATTTTGGGGGTTTCCAGAAATCTTGACCTACACCAAAAGTGGGCATTGCCCTACCCATAGGAAAGTTTGGTTTCATTGGTGTGTATATGTTTGTCTGGTTATAGAGAAAACTCTCCTTGCTTTTAAAGAAACTGAACAAGGGGCAAAGTCTTTGCCTTCAATTTCCTCAAAACAGCATTTTTCCACAGAGCCCCCTTGTGCTTAAAAGCGACCATATATTTATGTCCAACATTGGAAAGGCACAGGCTGCTTTCATATCTTTGAATAAGATTTGGAGAACCAGGGACATCTCACTTCAAACATACTGAGGATCTTCAACTCAAATGTGAAGTCAGTCTTGTTATATATGGATGTGAGACATGGAACGCGTCTCAGACTTACATAAAGAGGATCCTGGGTTTTTTTTTAACAAGTGTCTACGGCAATTTCTGAGGATCAGATGGACAGACAGGGTCACCAACAAGGAAGTATTAAGGAGAAAAAGATAGAGCCCAGTCAGAGATGAGGTGAGAAGAAGGTGGTGGCGAAGGGTTGGACATACTCTCAGGAAGTCAAGCAGCTGCATAACAAAGAAAGTTTTACATGGATTGAAATCTACAAGGTAAAATATCAAGGGGAAGACTACGTGGAAGCTGAAGAAGAGTCACAGAAATTAATACACAGAAAAGAGGGAAGACATGGAATAGCATCAAGCGGCTACCCAGGATAGGGAAACGTGGAAAGTGTTAGTTCGTGGCCTACATACTGATCCAGGGTGAGAAAGGCAATGATGATGATATGTCCAACAATGAAAATCCAACTTAGCGTTTACATTGGTCAGGTCTCGTGAGAATTCTTATCAATAGCACTGAAGGAGTTAACGCAACCCATGTCAGAAATTACAGTTTTGTTCTCTGTTCGAGAAAATTGCATTTCCTTTGTTGGTTATCGGCAGGACATGATCATTGAGTTACTGGAATCTTTATCACAGGTCCTTTTTTAAACTCTCTTGCTCATTCAAAGCATTTGAAGTTGAAGATTAGCTGTTTTTAATTTTTAAAATTCCAATTCAAAGTTAAAAGGACCACTAAATCTTATTACTAGGCAGTTAAGCTGAGGTTGGTAACTTCGTCCATTCTGTAACCTGAATACAAACAAGGGCTGCAACTTCTCAATATTTTGAACAGTTTCTAATTGAAATGCCTGTGAGCTGACTTTAACCTCAATAGGTATGATTAACCCTATCCGTACATCGGGTTTTACTATCATATTTATATGACATGGGGAGCTCTGTGCCACCACTTTCCAAAGAGGAAATTTACTCTTTAATCCGATCCGTACACTTTGCATAGCAGTCTGTCAAAATGATTTTTTAAGAAATACTGAAAGTTTCAAAGAGATCTTTGCACTAGAAGTTTTCTAAAATGTGGAGAATACAACCCTAGGGGTACAAAATGACCCCAGGGCGTACGGATAGGGTTAAAAGAGTTAAACTTATAAGATATATTTCTTCTCTAAAACTCTTTGTTTCTTGGATACCCCCCCCTCCCCTAATTTATGGACACAATATCTGGAGTCAGTCAAATATGTGTAACAAAACAGTTACCCTGACTAGCAAGCAGTCCATCATAAGTAACATGTAACCATTCTATCTGGTTCATCAACTCTCTTGTGAAGGGGACATTGAATAGTTTATCATTGACCTATTTCTACATGAGATCAATCTACAAACACTCTGAGGACGTTGTGGACACATACGTCTGATCAGCAAAAGACCAAAGGAAATATTGCTGCATATTTTGAACCATCATAAACAAATCAGAAACATGAATTTGCATATTTTATTGAATGTATGTTGTTGTTGCCTTTTTTAGGCTTTAAATGAAACAAAACTGAAAAGCCTGTATATGAATAAAGAAGTAATGCCACTTTTTCAAAGTACCCCAAACAGTGCGTGCGTCTCTGATGAGATTAACATGTTAGAGAACATTCAAGTATTATCAAAGAGTCTACATAACAAGAGGGGCCACTCCTCTCTATGAGCCAATTAAAAAAGTGTCCTCAAAATTCGGTGGCGCCCTCTTCGCAAATGCGCACCCTTGGCGAACAGAGTTACCCTACTTGAGTTTTTAAAAATCAAAGTGAAACTAGATAGTTTTTTAATAAATTTCGGAAGAACGCTTTTTTAAAATGGTTACGCTTCCAGAGGAAAGGGTGATTGTTTTCTTCGTTTAATTTGACTTTAGAATGAAAGGCAAGAGGTCATTAACATAAAAAAAAACTAAAACTCCGAACTGAACGAACCCGAACTACTGATGAACAGCAGTCGATCTGCGCACGCAAGGAGGTGCTATTCCTGTTCTTCTTCTGGAAAAACTAAAGAGAGCTTCAAAACAGACTGCAGCGCCATCTGAAGCAAAGAGCGGACTTACGGCGCACACTTTTTTGGCTGAGTGGACCATCTTGTTATGTACTATCTTTGGTATTATGTAACAGCTCAGCAAAGAGTTTTTGGGGCCACTTAGACTAGAAACAATAGAAAACAATCACTGGGGTATTGGTGAATCAAACCTGTTGGGTCAAAATTGTCCACTTGTCTTCTCCCAAGAGTTTCTGAAAAGATGAAGGGCTCATTTCCCATACGGTGTCCAAAGGAACCAGTTTACCATCTGCCAAAATAGAAAACATTACTAAACTGTCATTGGGAACCAAACTCGTGTAACTTGAGTGCAAGGTGAAGAGCCTAATTATTACAAGATGTACAAAGTCAGGTAAGCTGAGCTTGATTTTTGTTTTAAAGCATGCAAGTCAATGACTTGTCTGCAAAGACAAGTGTATGCTGAGATGGATGGTATCATGTATATAAAATCATAAAAACCAATTGACCATAGTCCTGTTCACTCTATTGTATAATAGATTTACACCTATACGTTCTTATACTACGGTCTCTGAGCGTCTAGATTTACATCAATTCTTTATAAGTTATATCTTTAAGGAAATCCGCCACGGAGAGCCTGTGGGTGAAACTACAAGGCAATTTTTCTTTCAACATGACATATGCATTTAGCAGAAAAGTGCAAATCAATAGCTGGAAGCAAGACTTCAACAAATGTCATTGTGCAATTTGGTGTTTGTCCTTGTCAAGCACCCAGCAATCAAAATGAACAGAGAAATATTTAGCAGACTGTGTGATTTCGGCCAATTTCACCTTTATCATCCCATAAACTCTATTACAATATAAGCGTAATTTTCGAAAAGATAAAAATAGGCTTCATTTATGGCCCAGGACAAAAGTCTCTGACATGACCGTGGTCTTTTTTTGTGAACTGTCTCCTGGCAAGCTGTGGAGGGTCAACTTAATGTGGTCTGACCCCGGCAGCGTTGTTGAGCCAAAATGACACAGACGAGCGGCTTGTCACGCCCTTGATCCTTTGTGTCGGTACTTAGACGTCCATGTTTGGGCATGCCGTGTCCCCCAGGCCCGTCCCCCATTGATTGTTCTGGTCCCTGCAAGGATGATGTGGTGCACTAGGCTGAAGGTAGATCACAAGCCAACCACAGGGAGTGTGTACAAGAAGTAGGTGAGAGTAGCAGAGAAGGACACTAGTGAGAGTGTGTTGGTGGGGGGCATAGCGTCTACCACGTACCGGTGAGTTCAGCTCTCCGTACTTTGTGGGGCCACACCTACTTCCAGTCTGTTGTTTTAACCCCTCTGGGCGAAGGGGGTTGGTTTGTTGGCGCCAACAATTCACAATTCTCCAGAGCCACGTCAGTGCAAGCAGGGATCGCCACGAGTAGGTGCGGTTGTCTCCACTGGGAGAAGCTATATGAGACGCTTGGGTATTTCTCATCTTTTTACTTTACTTTACTTTTCCGATCCAGCGGCCATTTGGGTTCTAGCCCTTCGGTCTGTCGATATGGCAAAGAATTGACAGGTTTTAAGCAGCTGTGCTTTGTCGCTGTATAGAATGTTTCCGATGTCTGGGAAGGCAGGTAGGTAGGTGCTACGCAGGTCACAAAGTGCTGGGCAGTTAAAGAGGTGGTGTGGTACTGTTTCATCCTGGCAGTCGCACAACGGGCAGTCGGGTGGGGTATCCTTGCGGATCCTATTAAGGTAGGAATTTAGTGGTATGTGTTGTGTTCGCAGGCGAAATATCGTGACTTGTTCTCTTCTACTCAGGGAATTTATTGCATCTTTAGAGTTGGGGGCTATCATGTGTGCAAATACAGTTCTTCCAGTTTTGCCCATTGCCCATCCACTCAGCCACTGTTCCCTTGTGTTGCATTTGATGATGTTCTTGGCTGTCTGTTGTGATACTGGGTTGTGATTTTCATCTTTTAAATGAGGCCTTTCACCAGTCCTTGATACCCCTAACAAATGTCTTAGTTTTGGGAAGTACTAGCAGTAGAAGACTGATTCAAACTATCCATTCATTGAGACACAAACTGTACCTTGTTTGTAAATGTTGACATAGAGTACAGGAACAGCGTAGCTCTCACTGTACAAAATGTGGTACTCGTATGTCAACACTTCTCGCTCTAACAGAACAGTTGGCATACACTGCTCGTCTTCATCCTGAAAAGAAAAAGGAAAAGGCAGCCATAGATCAACTTGGATCAAATGGTAGAGTAGCAAAGACAAAACAATTCTTGATAGAGTAGCCAAAACAAAACAGTCGTAGATCTCATAGAGGAAATTATCATAGATGCTATTCCTCTTGCAAATAACTATAAAAGTATATAAAAGTATATATATATATATGAAGTCTAATCTACAGTTTACCCGTGCATGTCAGGAAACAATGTTGACATCAACATATTCTGTGGATTTGAAAAGAGCACTATCAAAATAGTTTCTTAGAATTTTTACTTTATTGGATTATTGTCCCCATTCAAATAATTTCTAGCTGGAAAGCAAGAGTGAACAGAATGCCTTTCAAGTACAGTCAAACCTGCCCTGACTGTCATCTCTACAAACGGCCACTTTCCATTCCCCCCCTTGCGTTTTTTCTATATAATTTAACTGTGTAAAACGGGCACCTGTCCAACGCGGCCGCGGCCACCTTATTTTAACACACAACCCCTATTACACTTAGCAATAACACCTGTCTTAGACGGCCACAGGGTTGGGTTGATTTAAATCAGGTCGATTTAAATCAGTTGATTTTTTAAATTTAAATCAACTTGATTTTTAAAATAAAAATCAGTGATTTAAATCACTTTAAAAAAAATGTATTTTTATTCAGTTTTTAACATATTTCAACATTCAGAATTCCTTTCCTTGGTTTCATAAAACAGATATAAGGTTTAGTAGACTAGATCTAATATAATAATGCTTAAAAGTCTGCTTTCCCCCCTTTCATTGTAAAATAATACAGTATTCAATTTACTTTTTTTTCCATAATTGAAATCAGAGCTAGGTTGATTTAAATCAGTTGATTAAAATTTTTTTTAAATCAACTTGATTTTTAAAATAAAAATCAGTGATTTAAATCACTTTTTAAAAAATATATTCTGTTTGTACATATTTAAACATTCAGAGTTCCTTTCCTTGGTTTTACTAAACAGATACAAGGTTTAGTAGACAAATATAATCATGCTTAAAAGTCTGCTTTCCCCCCTGTCACTATAAAATAATGCAGTATTCAATTTACTTTTTTTTCATAATTGAAATCGGTTGGGTTGATTTAAATCAGTTGATTTAAAAAAATTTAAATCAACTTGATTTAAAAAAATAAAACTCAGTGATTTAAATCACTTTAAAAAAAATGTATTCTGTTTTTACATCTTTAAACTTTCAGAATTCCTTTTCTTGGTTTTATAAAACATATATAAGGTTTAGTAGACTAATATAATCATGCTTAAAAGTCTGCTTTCCCCCCTGTCACTGTAACATAATACAGTATTCAATTTACTTTTTTCTTTTTTTCCAAATTAGCATTTTTTTTTTTCTTTTCAGACAAACCCAAGCGCACGCACACACGCACACACACACACACACACACACACACACACACATACACACACACACTGTAATAAAATGCAAGTTTATCTATGCATAATTACCCTCCCCCCCCCCCCCTTCTTTTTAAACTGACATTTTCTTCGTTTTTTGTCTGTAGCCATAAATAATTAACTGATAGCAGATTAAGGCTTTCTTTTGCAGTTGCTTAAATTAATCATTAGTTAAAATAAAGACAATGCCTTTTGCACTAAAAGAACATACTTTTAGCCACAAAAAATCCCAAACTGTGTCGGCATTTTAAAAAAATAAAAAATAATAATAAATCTGATTTAAATTTAAAAAATCTGATTTAAATTTTAAAAATCGATTTTTAAAATTTTTATTTCAAAAATATAAAAAATCACCAACCCTGGACGGCCACCTCAGTGACTCCATTACGTTTTGTCATAAATTGTGCATTGGCCCCTGGCGTTGTGGGCGAGCCGTCATAATCAAATCACCTGTCGTTGTTGTAAGATAGTCCCCCCAACCGGTCATGTTGCGTAGGCCCCTCCCACTGTTGACCAATAGGTACCCATGACAGATTTTCAGCAGCTGGTGAGGTAGGGCGTGTGATCCCTCATAACCAATAGCCATAAACCCCGCCCACAACTCATACACAAGTTGTAAGTGAGATGAGTGGTCACTGTTTACCCAGTCTGTAACAAAGTAACAATGGACGTCAACATGAACTTGTGACAGAAGCGTCGCTCGTTCTCCGAGTGGTGGCGACCCCTGTGTTTGTTTTACCATAGCACAAATGAAAAAAAAAGAGAAAAAAAACCCCAGCGAAAACAACAACAACAACAATAACAACAACAAAAACAATGTGGCTATCTTCGGTTGGGACCTAAGGAAGGAATGGTTTGTTTTCTTCATCTTGATCAGTCCCGCCTAAGACGGCCACCTGTCTTATATGGCCACTTTTCTCCTTGATAAAGGGTGGCCGTCTTACACAGGTTCGACTGTATTTTTATTTATTGCGTGAACCAAGGAGCCCTGATAAGATGTAACGTGAGATTTCCCACAAAATACTGATCTACCGAAACAGGAAATAAACATTTTGTCATTTGAAAAGGAAGGGTCCACTATAAAAGATTAGGATGTTATCAGGTTGACAATGTATACAATAAGAACAAAAGAAGTGGAGTTTATTAAATTCAAGTTCCTTTTATTAAAATATTCTGAAAGTCACCAAATTTTTAAGTTAAAGGGTTTTCTCTTTTAAGATAAGGGAAGTGTTTTTCAGCACTGTTCACAATACCAAATGATTTAGCTTTGATGAGGCTGTCAGGCTGCAATGGAGCTTATATGTTGCTCTCTGTCACAGAAATATACTCCTGTCTCAGCTGACAACTTGGTTATAATGTTATTAAATATCTTTGAACTTATTGCTTTCTGTCAGTTTCTCTTGAAAATGAGAAAAATATTACACTCCTGTCAAAAAATGTAATTTGGACTTCTTGACTGACCTCCTCCATCTCCATTTCATCCCAGTCATGCACATTTAGTTGTTGGCCATCCAGCTGTGCACATATTTCTGTAGTTTCGCTCATCTTTGTGGGAGTCACTACATGGCCAGAAGGGACTGGTGGTGGAGCAGATCCCGGGTCCTTTTGTGATTCTTTTTGCTGTTCATTGCTCTGGGATGACCTCGGTAAAATGCTTTTCCTCCACAGATATACAGAGTCCTGTGACTGTGAATGTATGTTGTAAAAGAAATTAAAGGAAACAACAATTACAATGCAGATCCAAACTTCTATTTAAAATACTATTTTACTTTCTTTAGTTTTTCTTCTGTTTATTTTTCGTTTGTTTGTTCACTACTTTTAAACTCTATTAAGTCTTAAAATTAAGCTCTTTTCCACCTTGGTCCATTTGGGCCTATGACACACAACTGGCTACAAGTTCTTCTTCTGGTCGAATTTCAAAACCATAGGATAATATAAAATAATAATATTACAGAGGGGACCACATACATTAGGCCCTTATAGATCTACATGTAGCATGATCTGATGATTTAAGCCCATTAACAAAAATAGCTCGGTATCAATTTAATAGGTAAAAATAAAACCAGCTAAGGGCAGAGCTGAATTCCAAACGAAAATTCCAATTGCTTCAATAAAAAAGTAAAATATGATGGTCAATTAAAGGGTCAGATTATATATTATAGGGCTACCATACCCCACTAAATCTCAAAGAATAATCCACTAAACAATGACATCTTGCAAATCAAAGAGCTTGATTGCAGATTATTTTAAAAATCTAATGCATACCACTTGAGCTGGAGTTTTTACTTTGTATACATTTTTTCTTAAACCAGCAACTGATGACGGTTTCGAGCAAGCAAAGTGAGGGGAAAAAGATTTAATTCAAATTCAACATCAGTTAAACTCTATAAACACATGTCTTCGGTTTCATTATCTGCATGATGTGTTAACAATCAGATTTTATTTAGTCACATAGATACTTTTCTATTAAAGGCTACTATAATATACTATTGGGAGTTAATCACCCCCCCTCCCCTCCCCTGTGTATTCCATGCACCCCCCGCCCCCCCCCAATCAGCAAACAAATAAAACACACACACACACACACACTTACTCACACACACACGCACACACACACGCACACGGCAACGAACAACAATTTTACAAAAGGTGTGTACTGTTTGCGATTTGGGGCGGAATGGGAAGGCCTAGTGGATGGGGATGGATCGGGAATCGAGGGAGATCACCTCTTGTCTGATTTTTTTCACTGGAATATAACAGAATAGCCTCCCCTGTATTCTGTCCCAATTGTATGTCCCATTTTTTTTTCTTTCCCTTGCCTTCTTGCGATAAAAAATAAATAAATAAAAGGTGCAGTCCCATCATAACATTTCTGAGGTAAAAGACCCAACACATGAACAAAACGATAGAGGGGGGAAAAGCAAGACCGCAACGCAAATGATGATTGCTTTCCCCAAATAAAGTCCCATTTGTTTACTTTTCAACAGTGATCCATTCGTTATCCCATCATCAAATCGATCAACGGAAAAAAATCGTTCTTCGTTTTGACGGGTTAACTAGCTTCTATTAAATGTGCATTTTGTCCGATGCGTCTTTACAGTTCGACAACCCACCCCTGAGAGTGGCACTCACTGCGAGTATTTCCAAATGCCAACCATCATCGATTTTGCTTGACGTATCTGCGAATTTTTCGGCCAGACTTCTAAACTCATCGGCGGAGATCGAACCAGCAGCTGCCATTGTTGTGTACGGGTAGTAGTATCGCTGCCGTCGTCTGACAGGTCCAAGTCATTCGGGCTTCAGTCAGTCCATCTTTCGCCGTGACAAGTCAAGGCACTCTTTTCTCTTTACGTTCCTCACCACACGTCCTCCTTACTGACTGTTACGTTAGAGTAAGATGCCGTAAAGTATTAGATCTAGACTAGTAGTAGATCTAGTAAAGCTGAAAAGTAAACTCCTGTCAATAGAGGATGAGAAAATGCAACATTACAAAAGAATGTTCGGAGCGTAGAAAGACCAATTGCAAGCCGTGAAATAAACCGGCAAGTCTCAACTTTCTTTAAATTTTCGAATACAATATTATATTAGCTTAGGTAAGGTAACGGACATCTATTTTAAAAAGTCGGGCAGCGCACATTTTAGCGGAGGTTGTTCGGGGGAAAAAAATAACAGAAAATCCGAAGTCCTATTAAAAAAAGGGGGTGAAGAAGTAAAAACTCGAAAATGGACTCGCCCAACGTCGACCGGTCTCGCAGCACACCAGAAACTATTGAGCAAAATCTCGAGGAATATAGGTCATAGCTAGGTTTAAGTGTATTATTGAAATCTGCACCTCCAGTGAACACATTTCTCTGGTGTTCGTTCAAAAGTGAAAATTGTTACACAATTGAAATTGTTGGTGTTATCATTTTCTTGTCCGTTTCAATATATTGTCTGTTTTAGTGTAGTGTCTAACTCACCAATCAGATAAAATATCTTCTGTTTTTAAAATTATATCTAAGAGAATAATAGGGCTACTGTTAGGTTAGGATCTCAGGACAGGTCAAGCCATGGGTCTTTCTGAACCATCAGCCACCTCTCTTGCTCATGTCCCTATATTAAAAGCCTAGTAATTAACGATTTAGATATATATTACATACTGCCCTCGCATTACTCGAATCCGAGGGTTACAAGACGAGAGTGGGGAGGTATAACGTTCAAAATGGACGTATAATTAACATGAAGGAAGGCTCGAGTAAACTAACATGGGTAGAGGTTCAATTCTGTATGATTGGTTCTGAAAATGACCAGCGTTTACTTCGTATTGCAGCTGATCATAAACAATCGCCGACGAACTCAAATTTTTACTTGCATCCGATCAAACTAGATAACTGGCAAATCGCCAACGCGTCTTTGTCGCCGAATTGTGCAGGGCCAGTGGTAACCGGTCTCGCAGCACACCATTTCAGCTATTTTCGTCAGCCAATCAACGCGAAGCGACTGACAGCCGCAGTTGATGTTGGCAAGACAACGGGGTCAGTGTCGTCCTTGATGGCTTGACAGGTGCGTGACAGTTCAGCTCTAAGGATGTATACCAAAGGGAAAGGTTCTACTGTCCCTTCGGATGCTCAAGCAAGAGAAAAGTAAGTAAAATTGATTGTTTGTCGTAAATTTTGAAATTTACCAGTCGGGTAGGCAAGATCTTTCCCCCGATGCTGCTCCTTTGCACGCCTCTTTGTCCGTAGACCGCTCGATTCCACCTGCACACGAGGATGCCCCATTCAAACACTGGGTATAATAGCTGTTCCAGTTATTAAACATACCCAATTCAACTTTAGTTTTCTTTTATTTTGAAAAGTTTGGTGCCAAAAAATGCTTTGGTTTGGTAATATGATAGTTGCATTCTCTGAGAAGTATATTTTTTCCCAATGCCGATCCCCAGAATGTGTCTATTTTTTGGCGGAATGTCTAAAATACAAATAATAAACAAACATCGATCGTGTTGAAGTATGGCTGCCAATAAGTCAGTGAACCGGTTATCGAGACTTCTTGAGTGATCTCCCTTGAACCTTTTCTTGTTTACAAAATCTTTCCATGTCCATGTTAAAGAATTCATTGTCTTGAATTGCCATTAAATTATTGCATTTCTCCCTCACATAATTTTGTCTTTTTCTCCAGACTTGCTCTGTATGTGTACGAGTATTTACTCCATGTTGGAGCACAGAAATCAGCACAGACTTTCTTGTCAGAGGTATGGCAAATTGCTGTGGGTTTGATGTCCTTTCAAAATCTAAAGTCCAAAATCTTGACTGAGAGAGAATTCTAGATTGTATGTGAGAACTGGAAACTCGTCAGTATGAAATAAGCTACGTTTTACGAAGGCCTACTCCACCCATCAAAATTATAAACATTCACTTGTGACCCAAAATAGGCTAGATAGTATGTGATGAGTGATCAGCTGTTTTTGTTTTTTGCTATCTCTGCCTCAGTGTTTGTGTGGTACAATCAATCACTGACTGAAGAATTCTCTTTTGCCTTTAACATAGGAAGTCAAGCTGTGTTTATAATAAGTTATGTGTTTTCATACACATTTTCAAGTGTTTGTCTAGGTCTAATAAAATTGCAAAAAGAGTGACTGCTAAAAAAACTAGCCTATCTTAACCTAACTGCTGCAGTGGTAGCATGCTCAGTTAATGAAAGTTATAACCAATTTTATATTTCTTGTTAACAGCTTCCCCAACTTCAAAAGAAACAAGACATGCCAGTCATAATAATTCAATTTTTATCATGGTTAGGCATAATGAAAAAAAAGTTTTAAGAAGTTAACTCGAAGTCAACAAGCTTAGTTCCTCATCTGATTTGGATAATAGTTGATTATGGGTTGAAAGCTCTATCTTGTTCATTTTTACCAGTGGAGTCCTCATCTTTACCTTTAAAAAAATAGAATGCTGTGACTTGTGGAAAATACTTAACTTTTCTGATTTACTTGGGTCTACTGATTGACATCAATTAGTTAAATTGTTTATAGTGCTTTTTCACACGATTTTACCAGCTTATTCCAGCTTTATTTTATCTAATTAATTATTCTTTTATCGTGTGATGTTAGACAGAGTTAAAAAGCTAGTATGATGAACACTAATTAGCCTAAATTGACCTTGTTGAAAGTTGTTGTACACTTACTATTTAATCATTAGACTTTGTATGAAAAGGAAAAACATAGATCTAAGTGCCTGCAATTGCTGGCAATCATTGACCATTGGTAGAGTTATACCATATATTTGGTTTTTGAAGACAAGGAGAATGCAACTGTTTAGGTGGTAATTTAATAAGATAGCTTTTGAATTTTCATTTTTGAGGTCCTATCTTTGTTTCACCTTTAAAAAAAACTTTTAATTTATCATTAGGTCATGTTTTCATTGTACAAGATCTTTTTTATACATCTGTGTCTTTATAAATTTCTTTTTGTTGGTTTAGTTTTCCTGCAACACTGGTTTCAATGTTGTGTTTTTCATTCTTCAGATTCGATGGGAGAAAAACATAACGTTAGGGGAACCACCGGGGTTCCTACACTCATGGTGGTGGTAAGCAATTAATCCACTTTTATGTTTATGTTTGTGGTAATATTGTGCTGAAATTTGTATGTTATCTGTTATGATTTACTTTTTTAAATTTGGGATTGATTGTTCTTTACAAAGATGAAAATTTCATATATGATGAAAAACTAAGTGGTAGTCAGTTGTCAAAATAATATTTGTGTAGGTAGATACAGGGAAGATCTGTAGGTTCAAGGATTGGGCTACAGTGAAGAAGTCATTAGTCAGACAGGTAAAAATTGTGTCTATTTGTGGGTGTTTTGGCTTGATCCGTCATAAAGATGGTTTAGTGCCTTTTTAGTTGTGGTTATGTTTATCCTTGAAGTAATGCTAATATGAGAAGTAGCCTAGTGTATTACTATTCGTACAATATCAAGAGTTGTCTGATGGGTACTTTCAGGAATCTGTTCTGAATGCTTTAAAAATATAATTGAGTATAGTTTGGTGATAGGATATTTTGTTGCGATATTAAGATGGAATCATAATTGTTTTATGAATCAAAGTTAATACTGAAGTAATTAACAGTCTTTGTACTTTTCTATTGCAGCGTGTTCTGGGATTTATATTGTGCAGCTCCAGAGAGGAGGGACTCCTGTGATCACAGTAGCGAAGCTAAGGCATTTCATGATTATGTGAGTACTTTTTGACTGTGACAGCTTGTTTTTGTTTTTTTGTCATGTTATTTCCATTGCTGACAACCAAAATGTAAAAAAAACCCCATATTTTAGTATGTTTTTGAGGGTCTGAGTATGGCAGTTTTTTTCATCTGAAAATACACGACTCGCCGATGCTTAAGAAAAATTATGATGGAAGAACAGCTTTGCGAATGAGAATGAATCTCAAATTAATATACATGATGTCAGTTGGAGAAATCTTTTGTAGCAGGTCTATTCGAGTAGCTTGAAGTTTTGCAATGCAGAAATATGTGAAGGGTGTGCTGTTGGTGAGGGTTACTTGGCCAATGTTCACCATCTTTACCCACCAGATGGGTAGAGTTTGTTATTTTGTTTTTTCAATGTAAGGCACTGACAGAGGTTCATTGCCCATTTTGTACTGATTGAGTGCCATCCCACAAGTGAATGCTATAAATCATGTTTTTATTAAGGAGGAGGGTTTCATATTATGCTGGCATGTGAAACCTGAGAGTGACATCATCATCATATATTATATATTGCCTTTTTCGCAGTGGATCAGGATATGGGCAACGGACAAACACTTTCCACCTTTCCCCATCCTGGGCGAGTGGCTTGATGTCACTTTATGTCTTCCCACTTTTCTGTACATCCATTTCCGCGACTCTTCTCCACGTTCCACGTGGTCTTCCCCTTGATCTTTTACCCTGTGGGTTCCAATCTAACACTTTCCTCGTAATGCAGCTGCTTGTTTCGACTTTGTCCGCTGTCTTTCATTGTTCCTGCTGCTACAGAAGCTTTTCCGTCTCCCAGGATGGAAAAATTATAAGGCGTGTTTGTTCATGTTTCTCTATAACTTTCCGTTTTTTACTGGGAAAAAAAATACCCATCTTAAACAGAAAAGTGGAGATCTTTGCAATTGAAGGAGGTATGGGTTCGCCCTCCGCATCCGGCGCATTTTGGGCGAACAAGACTTTTATACTATGCACTTTTAGCCGCCTCTTACGACATGCAGTATCACGGCAGGTGTATTCTTATAGCGCCTCCCACTTGCAGGGGCAAGAGAGTGACATGTCATCTGCAGGGGCGAGAGAGTGACATGTACAGGAAATCGGGTCATCAAAACAAATGAGCTTATTTTTTATAGTTCTTCATCTAATGTAAAAGAACTGGCAAATGCCAAAAATTGAAGTAATGACGTAGTCATTTAGGAATATGATGAGCTGCTTACAGTGGGTCTCTGTTGTTCTGACCGCAAGCTGGGAAAATACTCCCTGAGCCACCTTCCACCACTTTTCTGTCATTCATGTTGGGTTTTTTTATGGTCACTATAAAATTTGTTTCTCATGGCCATTTTTACTGGGATCAGTGTTGCTTCAACCTCACTTGAGTATAGTTGGCCAAGTGCTGTCCTCCTGGCAACAAAAGCTTTACAAGTAGCCTTTTTCTATGGATTACAAGGAAGTTCATATTCATTCCATGACTTTGAGACATTCGAAATACCAGCTTTTGTTTTAGAGGTTGGGTGCTTTCTGTAGCGCACAGAAGGCGCGAGTTTGATTCCAGTATGGAGAGGGTTTTTTTCCAAGTGTCTTCACATCTGACTGCTTAGATGATATGTCCCTCTCGGTTCAGATTGGCCCCGACATGCAGAGTTGTTGCAGTCAGCTTCCGAAATGATACAAATTTGTGTCAATGACGGACGGCAAAATCATCTACAACTACATGATTGCTCTATGAAAGAAAAAAAAAGATTTTGACATTATGAGGCCTTGAGTTGAAATTAATGCTGACCGCCACCAGCTCAACTTTATTTTTCGGGGGGTGAAATTTCTTTCTATCTTTCATGCAGTGAAGTTGTTGTGTTTAGTAGGGGATAGGTTTTGGTAAGATAAGGGGTCAGCTACATGAGTGTATGATTTGGTGGAGGGAATTTCCGTGGCTTCATGGTCATTAATTCAATACTTTTCTTGGTACCAGTTGATTATCTCATCTTGGAGGGGTTTTTCAGTTTTACAGATTAAAATCTCTAATTTCCAGGAAATATGACGTGTTTTCATGGAATCCTTTTAAAAATAAATCCAACACAGTCTAAAGATATCTTGACAGAGAATGTTTTGAGTTTTGTCACTTGTTCATTTGTCTTGACATGATGGAATGGAAGGGGGTTGTTCATTTGTCTTGACATGATGGAATGGAAGGGGGTTGTTCATTTGTCTTGACATGATGGAATGGAAGGGGGTTGTTCATTTGTCTTGCTTTTGATGAAAAAAAATACCCATCTTAAACTGAAAAGTGGAGATCTTTGCAATTGAAGGAGGTATGGGTTCTTGGTGGAAGAGGTAGAATTAACAAGGAGATGGTTCCAAAATCTGATGGTTTCCAAAGCGTGAGTGTCCTTGGGACCAGTAAATTTACATTTTGATATTTTAATACCTTTGATCAATGTTTTTCAATAAAATCAGTACCAAAATATTTTTTAATGGGATGTCATAAAAGGTGATGAGCGAGAGAAAAAAAAAATTGCCCAGCGGGTGGGAAAATGTCGGCATTTTCAGTTTCATTATCTTGAGGAAGGCCTGATTTCTCCATGATGCAACACATGTTTTGTCTTTGTGTCAATATTTTCTGTTAAGGAGAAAGGTTCACATAAAATCTTGCATTTGATTGTATGCTCATTTCCACATTACAATCTGTTACCCTGTTGACGGGAGGAGCTACCCTTGAGGATCATTTTCTATGTTTGTTGCCCGAGATCAAATCTAAGTACACATAATAAGTTAGACATAGTAAAATCTCTTGATAAGCAATTTTATTTTGGCATAGCTACAGTCGTTGCTATGGAAACAGCTGCCTTCTTCAAAATAAACAATGAATTTCAACTCACCAAATTTGACAAAATTTGGTGAGAGTATACCTGAGCCAGATTCTATCAGAGTAACAGCAAGCTTTTTTCAATAAATACCCCCCAAAAATATGAGAATTTTCCCAAAGTATAAAAATCTTTTTCTAAAATTAGGTTGCGTAATCGTTTTCCGATGGAATAATGATATTTTTTTCTCGCAAATATCTCTCTATTACATTGATGGCAGCCTTGTCATCTATGTTTCCTGGAAGTTTCATGTCAAAAGGATGAAAACCAAGGAAGGAGTAGGGGAAAAACTGGAAGAAAAAAAATAACATTTTGCGAAAAACGACAAAAATTGTGAATATTCACTATATTAACCCATCCTCATGTTTTCAAAGGCAATTTACCAGGAGAATCAAGACTTTCTTAATTGTATCCATGCTATTTTCAGACCAAAAACTGGTTGATCTTAAAAAATCAGCCTACATCCCAAAATCTTCAAAACAAGGGTCGCTCCTCCCCTTAACTGAGCAAAGCCAAGTGCAAATCTGGAAAACTATCAAGGACCAAGCATAATAGTAAAGATGATTTCTACAAGAAATTGTCCCTCTTTGAAATGAACTGGGTTTGTTCAAAATATCACTCAACTCAACTCAACTTTTACTTTGAAATATTGACAGTGAAACTTCCTCAAAATATCATGTTTGAGTCTTGAGCGTATTATTTTCTCTTATTTTTTTCAGAGGGTTTCAGTTCCTTTTCACTATTGTACATCATTATCTCGCCTCCGCTTCATTTGTCTCGAGAGTGTGGGCTTTCGGTGTTCGTTTTCTCTCGTGACCATTTTCAAAATGAATCTCTTATAATGTGAATTTTTAAAATTTACCTCATATAATATTGGACCAAAGGTTCAAGATGCTTTTCCTTCACCCAGTGGACAGACATTCCAGTTAATCGTCTCAGTCTGTTGATATATGTTGAAAGTTTTGTAGTCTGTGATTGATTTCTGAACTGAATACAAAGTGCATCTTTACAGGAGAGTAGACTAGAGAAAAAGAGGATAGACTAAACAGAGTACATTCCTAAGGGCTTAACGTCTTTGTGGTTCTGTAGAAGGTCCTAAGCACAGAGACAGTTTTATGACTGTATGTCCTAATATCTTGGAAAAGTGCACAGTAAGTTTTGTTTTTCATATTTGTCTAATACTATTAATATGAATTGTAGTACTTAAATTTTCATATGGTTTAGCTTTCATTAAAAAAATTTTTTTTTTGCAAGCACACCAGACCTGTTGTCGTCAAGTTTGCTAGCTAAGTGAATGATGGTCTTGTATAATTGATGATGACAAAAGAGTTCTCTGATTAAATAATTTAAATAAGAATAATAAATCTCATCGGTTCTTTTATTCCATGTTGATAACATTCTATGCGATGCGTTTTCAAAGAATCTCTGCCTTCCTCCTTGGGCATGTCTCTCACTGCCAGGGCCGGCGGCAATGCAGGCGCAAGATGAAAGTCTTTCATTGTTCTGATTCACTTGATTTTGTTTCTCCACTCAGTATATTTTGTAAGCCAAATATTTGGAATATTGTAAGTGGCTGTGGGGTGCAGCTGATAGGTCACATTTCTAAAACTGTAGTTCTTGTGTGTTGGCTCTCTCAGACAATCTCTTCCTTTTGTTCTCAGCATCATATAGAAATGCTGCTACAGCCATCGGTGGAGTAGCGTTTATGTGTTCTGCTGCCATGCTGTTGCATGCAGAAGCCCCTAGTTCGGTTTCCTATGTGAGGAGGATGTTTATTGAGTGTCTTGGTGTTTCTGCTGGGGAGTTGTTGTATCCCTCCAAGCCTGGGCTGGTCTTGACAGGCATGGTGGAAGCAGCCCGCACGCTAAATGATTAAAATTTTGTCTAAATGATCGAAATTGTGTCTAAATGATCTAAATTGTGTCGATTGGAGCATAAAAAAACCATGTACATTGTGTTGATGCTGTCCTTGATATTTCACACAGATGTAAGGCTACAGTACACTTATTTTTCCCCTTTTTTATGTGGATTTGATTTGTGCTGGTGGCCGGTTTGTAGAGGTGGGTAAAATCCGGATAATCTATTTATTTATAAGGATAATCGGATACTTCTCAATGAGACATTATCC